ACTCTAGTTATAAGGGTCACCTGTGCTGAAGAGACGCTGCTGGTGCCATGGGCTGAGTGTGGTGTTTGCTGTTCCAGAGGGAGCTTCCCTGGGGGGTTCTCAGCTGGATTATGATAATGTGGAGGAGCCTGCCTTGAACGACGTCCCCCAGACTCCAGACGGCCGAGGTGAGCAGTGAATCCACCCCCTGGAAGCAACGTCACCCTGACGAAAAAATAACTGTATTTCCAGTAGGACAATAGTGGTTTGTTAAGAAAACCAGGAAGTTCACCCACCAGTATTGTCTACTGGCGTAACGCTGGGGGCACTGACCAGGTGCATTACATGAGCTGTGTGGAGGCCCAGGGGTAGGGAAGCGTGTGATGTCCTAGGTCATGACAGAGGCCCATTGCGGGGACGGAAGGAGCAGTTTACTCAGGAGCTGCCCACATGGTGCTTGGCTCAGATCACTGCCCTGTGACCCTCACTGTCATGAGCACCAAGGTTACTCACTAGTTGTAAAGAGGGAGCATCGAAGGAGAGACCTTTACATAGGAGCAATGTTCCCTGCCAGCCTTTCCTGACATGCAGCTATGGCAGCTTATATACATCTGTGTCAGACACACTGTGACGGGAGGGTGTGGGGGGTGGGGGACATAGAGATTTTACACCCAAAGTCCCATTTCTGACCCGTATTAGCTGGCTCAGCTCCTAGTGGTGTCAGTGCATTGGAGACTGATGGCAGTTTATGGGGTAAACCTTATCAGGAGAACACATTGAAAAGACATTTTAAAATATTATCAAATTTAGGAAGCCAGGAACAAACTCTAGACAATTCCAAGTCATTTACATTTGTAATTATTGTAACCAAATGCCTTGTGGAGCAATCCCTCTGGACTAGATCCCGGTCACCTCTTTCTACAACTCCCCGTCTCTCTTGTCATCTGGGAGCTCTAGGATCCTCACAACCAGCTATTGAAATGTATCAAATCAATGATCTGTAAATCCCCTCAATCTGAGGGTTCCAGAGGAGGGCTTCTCTTACCACCATGAGGGTGGAAGTGCTGAGAGATCCCCAGGGACCAGTGAGGCTGGTGCATCTGCAGCATGTAGTTTAATTCTGTCTTCACTGTGAATATTCTCTTAATTACTTCACATCTTCATGTCAGATGCCCCTGCCCTGCCTGGAGATGTCCCAGGGGCTGGTTATGATGATGCCAGAGAAATGTCTGACCCTGAAGATGACCCTAGTTTGGGGCAGAATGATGAGGAAGGCCCTGGGGTGAGTGACAGGAACAGGGATTCACAGACAGGTGAGTTTGCACTTCACAGTGTCTCTACAGAATGGGATGGGTGGAAATGTGCATTACACAGCAAAGGAACATACCTGACCAACCTAATGCCTGTGGAAAAAAACTCTCCTTCTCTCTTCTCTTCTTTCCCTCAAAGCAGAGGCTTCAGTGCTTGCAGTGGAGACAGGAAAAGCAGAAAGGTCCCTCAATCTCTAAATTCAAATCCTTGTGTGGCTGCCACACCCTGGATTACTGGATTCCCACCAGTTTACTGTGCGTGTATCTTTTGGACAGAATCTTATAAACCAAAGTCCTGTTACTGATGTGTAAATTTTAAAGAGCCCATGACACTTCCTGTAAAAGTCAGGCTTTGCCCATTATCCTTGGCCAACATCTCCCTTCCCCATTGTGTCATGAGCAGAGACACCACCAGCCACCCCAGAGGAAATGGAGTGGCAATCAAATGTGCATTACTCAGTACTTGATAAGAACAACGTGCTTATGTTTGTGATTAGCGCAGAGTGAATTATACAATGCCCTTAAGGAACAGCTACTTCCTGGAAGTGATTGGGTTTTGTACATGAAGTGACAGGTGAATATAGTTCTCACTTGGCAACTGTAAATGGTCTTGAAACCAAGGATTTTACTTCCAGAATATGTACAGAGATGATGGATTAAAATTTGTCATGGACCCAATGAGAAGAACGAAGAGGGAACATTTTCTAACCCATACCAGAGAGGGCACTCCACCCTTGCTATGTAGCCATAAAATGGATCCACTGACTGTATGTGTCTCCCTTTGTATTTTAGGCTGGAGTCTGCACTCGCTAAGGAATGAAGGTGTCTCTGTGACAGAGAAAGAAACCCTGTTCCTGCCTCCTGGAGACCCAAGTTATGATGACGTGGGACATGGTGACTCTGGGGGATCAGTATCAGAACAATGTGATTGGACCAAATAACCTTGGGATGATGTAAAAGCTTTGCCTCTTTCTCTGAGAAATGCTCCCTCTGGCATGATGCCCAAAGACAGTCCCTGCCTGGTAGACAGACAAAGCAGGTGTTTCTATAGGGTTTGTGTGAATTTGCGGGGAATACAATTGCGAGTGGGAAAAGGTTCAC